TATATATTCATGTTTAATTTAGTTTCAATTAAATCAGATTAAAGCATAGCAGGCTGAATGTGAGCATGTTTTAGTTGGTCAATAATGTGAGATAAATGAGTATTGTCCGAGCTGGGATGGATATAAGAGGTGCATTAGATAATGATACCAATTTTGAATTTGGAAACATTCTGATTCATGTTGTTCTGTTCATCCAGAGTCTCTGCATGGCACACATGCCAGATCTCTACCTTGATGTCCATGTAAGTATGATTATAACAAAAATTGTGAATCAGCATGTTTATTAGATTGAGTTTTTTGTGTGTGAAAGGTAGCCTTTTTTTTTTTTTTAAAGATAACAACCATCAACAAAAAAAAACCTGTTTTCTGATCTGCACATTTCTCTGTTGTTTCTTCTTTCTTCCACTCTGTTTTGAGAAATCTGGCTGTCCTAACATTTTCAACACTAACCTCTGTGGGTATTTTGACTGCAAACCTCAGCTTCTGTAAATCTTGCGAAGGGACACTAATTGCTACTCGTGCTGTCAGAATGGTTGCGTGATGTACAAAATGAGGACCTACATCTCCTTGGTGGAGGGCCTGCGACAGCGCCGCTGCGCTTACACCAGAGACGTGAGGAAGCTGGGCGTCACGCTGAGGCAGCTCCTCATCATCATGTCAGAGAAATGCCACGGGGTAAGACGAGACAAAACTGTCTAAACAAGCTCAACACAATTTGATTCAAACTGTACCGTAAAGATGTATTGATTTTTGTCATGAAGCAATTACCTTCGATTATATTTGGTGGCGCAGAAAGGGAAGTGCAGCACAGACCGATGTCTCAAAAGAGTAATTAATGTGATATATTTTTCCCTACATTAGACTATCGATACAGCCTCAAAGATACGGTTTCTCATCATCAAAACAATCTAGAAGTCTAACAGTATGATAAATCCTTCATGTCCAAATTTATCACAAGAGTCCAATGATTAAAAATAGTCCATTTGTTTTCATGTAGATGTATCTTTACTGCTTTTAACACAACAAAGCATTTTGATTTGTTGGGGTGAAATAAAGCTGAAGATGTGTAGTCTGTCTCCTGCCGTGATCTCCATCATCACCATCTTAGTCTTTCCAGGGCCATAGCCTTTAACCTGTCACTGTGTGATAACCACAAACAGTGAGATAGTAGTTACACTGCTTCATAGCTTACCTCTTCTTTTGCACCGATACAACCTCACACAGGATCCAGCTTTCTGTTTGATCATTCCAAGTTGTTTTCAGTCACACACTGGGCCACAGATTGTTTATTGTCACATTTACATGAAAGCTGCAATTCAGCAGTCAGGTGTACACAGAGTCTGATAATAAGATAATTCAAAAAATGATTATTCCATATTTTAAAGTCACCTATAAATAAACATATAGCCTATCCACTGAGCCAAAATGAAACAGAAACAGTCTGACAAGACACAGATGAAATGAGTTTAATGGGTCACTCACTGAGTCATTTCACAGGATTAGACAGGGTTTATGATGCAGATTATATAAATAAAAAACATTGAGTGGATGATCATGAAGCCATGTGAAATTGAGCTGCTTACAACAAAGGAAATCTAAAATTTTGAGTGAACCTTATTCACTCGCACATGCCCGACCCAAAGACATCTGTCTCACCTTTCTTTTTATTTTAGGACTTGGTGTTCACGATCTTTAACTGTGCTGCGCTGGAGCGCTAACACAACCGGATCCTGGAACCACAAAAATCACAATCGGCTCAGGCTGAGAGGAGAGACAGCAATACAGTCCTACTGTACATTCTGCAAGCCCCTGCAATGGTTGGGACTCAAGACTGATGTTAAGTTTGGACCTATGGTAACTATGGTTGTGTAACTAAAAGAAGTGTACTTTCATCATCTGTTTTCTGAAGATAATGGGTGCTATTGCCACTGATTACCACATCTCTCTGACTGAGGAAAAATTTCATATAATAAACTCTATTAAAATGCCTTTTTTTTAATTCTCTTTTCATATGATGATGATGGGGTAAAAACATTTTTTTACAAAAGTTTGCTAGTGGCTCCTTCCATTGGATTTTGGACTTGGTTCAGTGTTGAATGTCATTCATGTCTCTCACTCCTTCCTGTAAAGTTGAGATGTAATATATGTCAAATATAGGCTACTGTAAATAGAATCATGGTTATCACAGTTACTCAACACATATACTCCGATATTGAAATCCGTCTACCCTTAAATCCTTGCTCTTCATCATCCCCTGGTAAATATATATATATATATATATATATATATGTATATATTTTTTTTTATATCAAGCACAACAATAAACACAAACACAACAATATAATTTATAGCATCCAAAAATTATAAGACACAATAAACCTGATATATACTGTATATCATCCTCATATGATAAAATATTTTATTGTTCTAATTTCTCCACCAATAATATAACCTATAGGTCTAATTTCAGGTTAGTGAGTTCACTCCCCTGATTCAAGCAAGACACTGAATATATACAGCAGGTGAAGCCAAGTTAATGCTGGCAGACATTTCATCATTGTACTGCAGGGAATTCAGCGGTGTTACTAACAGCATTAACAATGGTCACCCTGAAACAAGCAGCCAAATGGAATTAAACCATCGTTCGTTTTATCGTTTAAGCCTCTTTCCTTTTTCTACTGTCACATGTCAAAAACATCTCCTGTGAAAAAGGCCTATTTGTTAGGACATTTCTGTTTTTTTTTTGTTATTTTTTTAATCATCAGCCCCCGTCTTTTATTGTTGTGTGAATGGATCGAATTTACTGAAAACGAAGAGAAAGTGCTTCAAATGAACATGGCAGAGCTTCCAAACTGAGCTGGACATTTGCATAGTCATATGAACTGTACAAAATAAAAACATATATACATACAGTGATGATAGGTCATTACTGGGATGGGATTATGGGCTTGTATGGACTTGTATGAGCTTGTTTCTTTACTGTTGGCTAATTGTCCATTTGGGGATTTACAGGAGAGGTGATCAAATCTCTCTTCCTCAATGTATTTGTATTTGTATTAAGTCTAGACAACCATGATAACCATGTTTAAATATCCCTAAAATTGATTTTAAAAAAAAAAACGATAAACCCTCTCTCAGTAAAGTGAAAAAATACCCCCAAACGTTATGCTGCTGAAACACAACATGGAAAGTTATGTTTTCCAACCCATTTAAATGGATGAGCAAGCAAAGCATTACAGCACCCCCACCACCGCCACCAGTCTTCCTGTCCATAATTTGTAATTCAGCAGTTAATTGTTTGGCTAATCTTTCCACAATATTCAGGGAGAAAATCACTAATGCAAATGAGATGGTAAATGAAGGTCAATGAGTTTCATTCTGAAACGATTTAAACACTCTGGGGGAGGGGTTAGCTGAAGTTCGCTGCCTAAAAATTCAAGACCAACATCCTCCATAAATGTCAGCATTGTGTTAAGGCATAGATCGATGCTAATGAGGTTTGAGTTTCATTTTAATGACAACAATCATTTGTATGTGGAACAATGGATTAGTCAGACTTTATCTTACCCTTTCTTCTAAAAGCATTCGAGTCCGCCTGAGGTAAATAACACAAGTGACGGTTACATCACATCTGTTGTTCAAACACCTCTTTGCTTTTTACTTCTGGTGCTGAAAACCTCAAGCGGGTCAAAACGATTCAGTTGAAACAGCAAAAAGTTGTACTTGATTATGTGAAAATACAAACACAGTATGACAGAAGGGACAATTCCTCACAGACTAGTTTATACTTAAACGCCTTTGCTGAGTGAAACATAAAGATACCGGTGAAGATGACAGTTGGAAAGCTCCTGAGATGGTCAACTCAAGGGCTACAAGGTTACAACAACGCCAGACATGGAGTAACTTTTTGATACCTAACCAATGAACAGTAAAATTGGTGAAAACTGCTACGAATCACTAGGCCCTGTAAAGATATTCCAGTTCAACATAAAAAAAGAAAGGAAAAAAAAAAGCTGTATATCCTCACACTGGAGAAACTGGAAACACTGAATGTGTACTTGAGAAATGATTTCAACAATTATTCCTCTGTCAAATCATTTTCTCTCAATCAGCTGATCGATTAATGACAAATCTTTTTCATTCAGCCTGTTCATAGTTGCCAGCCTGTCTGCTTTTGCACATTCATGCTCCACACGCTCCACAGGTAGGAGTTGGCGGAGCTGACCGTGCCGGTAGAGGGCGCTACAGCACCGCCTGTACAGGTGAAGTTGGGTATTCGAGCCAGTTTGTGGCTGTTAACTGAAAAGAGAAGAAACCAAGGTAAACTAAACTATCCCATAATAAACCTGACTCTCACTCTTGTAGTTCACTGATAAAAACTCAACCTATAACTAATAACATTAACATTATGATGCAGTATGATTGTAAAGAACAGGGGGAAAAATAGTCACGTTGAACGAATAACTGCATTTACCTGGGTCCAACAGAAGTTGAGCAGTTTTGTTTTATTTCTTATGTGTTTATGTCCCAGCTGTTTGACCCGTGGGAGACACCGGCCGCTGTCAGAGGACACGCCCAGCGCTCAACCCAAACCGGACATGAAGTCCTTTTTACCTCGTCAGTGGTATAATGACGGCGGCTTGTTCTTTTCAAAGAAACTACATTTCCATGACGGCAGTGAGGGGAGGGCTGTTGAGTAACGAGGTGGGGCTTCCTCTCACGGTTTGAAGCAACAAGTCGCCCGAGCAGGCAGAGGCTCAGCAGGCTGGCAGCTCCTCCATCGTGTCAGCAGCGGCAGGTGGTCACCGCGCGTCCAGCACACTCACTGCAGCCTGTGAATGGGATTATAACATGTTTTAAGTTGAAGAGCCAGCACACGAACACCAGCGGATGGAAATGGACGGAATAGAATAACTTCTTTGAACTAGCTCACTTCTCCTTTTTCTTTTTTTTTTTTTTTTTTTTGCTTTTTCTTTTCTTCAAGACGCGGAAAAGTGAAATAACTGTAGATTGATAGACAAGTGTTTTTTTTTGTTTTGTTTTTGTTTTTGAAGGACTGCGCGTCTCGGCGTGCGTAACGATCTTTCAGTAGAGATCCGAGCCCTTGTTTTTTTTTAGTTGTTGTTAGTTTTTATTTTTATTTTTCTTTTGAAGCTGAAGGCTCGTGCATTGTAAATAATGGCACTCGCTAGATTCAGCAAAATTCTTCGTCTGCCCGCTCTGGAGATCAAGAAGAAAGTGAAGCAGTACGAGCACGTCCACCGGGACATCAATCCCAACGACCTGTGGGAAATTATTGGCGAGCTGGGCGACGGCGCGTTTGGAAAGGTCTACAAGGTGAGTGTGATTGCAGGGGCACGAGGCACCTGACAGACTGACCGTGCTAGTGTAGCTCTGAACTGATGGGTCGCTCACCTGTTTGCTGCCAGTTCAGTCCCATTCTGTGACATTAGAAGCTTCCTGAATACTCGCTGTCGTCTCCTCCAAAAGTCATAGTCACTCTAATGTTCTCCCATAAACACATTTTTGTCTGACTACTCTGTCTGAGGTATTTCTAAGATGATAGATGGTAAATTATACATTCCATAAACCAATTACCTTTTTAAGTTAGGGTTTCAGTGGCTCTTTTGATGCTTATATGTAGCTGCTCCTCTTTGTTGCTCTTCATTGCCTAGGGTGTGAACTGCTTCAGATCACCTGTGGGTGCTTCACCATCCCATAGTTGCTGAGACTATGACTAATATCTCAACAATGTGGCTTGTCCTGAGTCCCACTGTAGAACAAACTGAGGAAGTCACTTCAACTTTGGGCATCACTAAACAGTTTTCCTCGATCCAACGCTGCCAGTGGAAGATAGAGGTTACCTGTTTAGTGGAACAGTCCATCATGGTGCTCGTGTTGGTCTAAGATTGTTCACTTCCTCCTGCAGTTTTGACAATGTGAAGTGGTTGTGTTACTGAATGATGTTACTTATGATCTTCTGCAAACATCAGCAGTAATCACCTTTCCCGAGTCCTGCCTGCCTCCCTCCTTTCCTCCCTCCTCCAGTCCTTGCTGTGAATCCAATGTGAAGCCACAGGGACAGTGAAAAGCGCCCTTCATTGGTTCTGTCTGTTCCTTCCTCCCAAACCTCAGCAGCAGCGGCAGCAGCAGCACTTTTGGCTCAGAGGAGTTATTTCATCTGGATGTGTTCGCTGGTCAGTCCCCTCTGTGAGGCATGGCACAGGCCCTCTGTGTCCTCACTGCCTCGAGGAGCACAGTGAAAGCCTTTGACACATCGGGGGCCTCAGTGGAAGAAGTGATGCCTTAGCAGAGGTCTGCATTGAACAGAAAAATGCAGTCTTTGCAAAGGAACTCCACCTTTTTATTTAGGTATTCCGTTTTTCCCCGGACAGTTTTTTTTTTACGGGCGACATGTTTGAAACGACATGAAAAGAATAACATTTTTTAAATAAATTCTTGCCTATGCTGCCACAGGTCTGAATTAAACGTGACGTCAGCTGACTAATAGTGCATCTTTTGAGCAGAGGGAACATGTGAGACATCCTGTGGATAGTCCTCTGACAACACAGAGAGAGTAATGCATAAACACAAGGGAAGCAACCAGTATACCATGGCGACAAACAATGCTTTCAGTTTGTTTTCTAAGAGGCTGCGGGACTGACTGAACACTGAGGTGCTTTAAGTTTGAAGAAGCCTTTAAGCTTTAAGCCTTTAGCCTTTACATTGCTGAGGAACATATTCAGATTGTCAAACTAAAAGCCACGGATGATTTGCAGCTTATCAGTGTGTTGTTCAAATAGTTGGCCCTTTCCCTTTCTTTAATACAAACGTCAACCCCAACGCTTTGGCTTCTGTTTCCTATTCTTGAGTGGGTTGGAGGAGGACGGCTTCACACCTGCAGCTGTCAGATGGAAGGCGAGGGAGGGAGGGAGGGAGGGAGGGAGACAGGCAGAGTAGGAGTGGGAGCAGATGATGGCCAAGAGAGGAAATGGTGGGACTGCATTAAAGGGGGACAACTTCCTCTCGCAGCTCCCAAAACTCTGAATAATCAGCTCGTCCGTGGGAGGGGAAGGCCTCCAGTGGGTGAATTGTGCATGTTTTTCCGTCGTTAAAGTCTTTGATAGAGCAGGCATGAAGGGAGGAGGCTCAGCTGCTTATCAGACCTTAAGGGGCAAGAGGCGATTTAAAAAAAAACAAACAAAAAAAAAAAAAGCTGGTGTTGGATGTGTGACAGGCAGCAGAAGGGCAATGCTGACGGTCTCTTCTTAGAAAAAAAAAAAAAAAAGTTACAATTCCTGTCCTTTGCACGTGGCAGTGACCCTCGCTCAGTCACTTTCTTTTGTTTCCAGCATCTGTCTTTGAGATTAAGCACAGGCCTCTGCGATTGTGCAGCGCTGGTTGAGGGGTACAGACAGCGCTCCTGTCACACTGACTCTCTAAAGGTTAATGTCACCGCTGGGAGTATAAACACTCGACGAGCTGTGTGTGTGTGTGTTTATATTGCAGGAACACTGTGAGGGAAGGAGCTCATAGAATGCGATGTAGTCCCCCAGTTATCAACGAGGCTACGTCCTGCTGTATTTCAGCTGTCGGTGCAACTGCACTTGCCTGTTCTTGATAGTGTGCTGCGGAGGAGGGGTCTGAGATCAATTTGAAGGGGACACAAAAAATGATATATGGTGATTTTCTTTTAGCTTTATCTCTTCAGGCCTCTTAAATGTTTTCAAATGTGAATGTGAAATTGCTTTTTGGTTAAACTGCTTGACCTCGTTTTGTTTTTTCTAAAGGGGTTCACGTGCCAAAAAGGTTAAGACCTGTTGGTCTACTGTTGTGAAATGTTCTCCTCCTCAACACTTCTAACTTGAATTCAAATACTCAAAGACCTATATTGTTTGTTTGAGCACAGTTTGGCTCTTAATGAAACACAGATTGCTTCTTGGTTTGAATATTCACTAAATATTCAGATAACTTTATTTGATGCAATTGATAGATGATATTATGGTCAATTAATTAGAAAAGAAAAAATACTTGGTACACATGTTTTAACCAAGATAAAGAGAGTAAATGCAGATTATTCATTTTTTTTTAAATGTGGCTGCGTAGTATACGTCCACACAGAAGGAAACAAACAAGCTGTTGTTTACTTCTCAAGTTTTCTGTGTTATAAGGTTACAGTAGTGTCCACCACCAGAGTAGCAGTGACGCACAGTAGTTAAAACAGAGAGGCATGAAGGCAGTGTTTCTAACTCATGTTGTGATCGATTCAGCCCAGGAAGTAAATTCGAGAAATGTAGCTTCACCCAAAGACCTGGTTTCTTGAAAATATGTAGCACTCATTGACTTTGAGTTCTGAGCACAAAGAAATGGTGAAGCAACCTTTTTAACTTTACCAGAGCCTGCTGAAGTTTGGCCACAAGAGAAGAAGGGACGGACGGCTAAATCAGTGTTTCTTTCTATACTGCTGCAGATTTAGACTGCAGTTTGATTGAATCAAGTTTGTCATGCTTGAATTCCTTTTTTTTTTTTTTTTTTTTGCATGTCGTAAGCCCTTAAAATGTTGCACTGTGTTGTGCAAACTTCCCAAAAATAATGTACTGTAATGCCACAATACTGTGGTGATTCTTCAAATACACCTCAGGCCTTTCTGTTTACCAGTAAGGGTCCGCTTCATCCTTCCAGTCATGACAGGAGAATGTCTCACTTCCTGTCCATCCAGTGTGTCAAAGGGTGTTTTCTCTGTTTTGTCTTGTCTATGCGTGCTTGCACTTGTTGCAGTGAGCTCGGGTATAGAGAGCGTGTGACTGTGTGTGTGTGTGTGTGTGTGTGTGTGTGGCTGCAACTGAAGCATGAAACAGAGGAGTTGTATGGTTCCCCTCACTAATTAATGAGCCACGTGCCGCTGAGCACATTGCCCTGCTGCCGCTAGTGAAATGTTTCCATAGACACGCGGCGGGCCGCAAGGTTACACTCCATCAAATTCCCATTGTGGGATCAAAACCACAGTGTGTCTTGTCCCGGCTGGTCTGTAATGTAAGAGACTGTCCTCTAAACCTGGACTTTAACTGTGGTAGGGGAAGCGCAAGTGTTTGAATTTACAATTCCAGCTCATTCGGACACTCCAAGAACAACATTGTGGCTTATGTACTTCCACCAGATCCGGATTATTATCTGGATCAGCACCAAACTGTACAAACTTAAAGGAGTCTGATTGACTTTCAGATGCCAGAACAGGTCTAATTGTCGCAGGGGGCTAATTTAAAAAGGTTATAATCTTAAGGTTTTTGTTTTTTGGAAAGGTATTTATTTATGCACATGAACGCATGGGGTCCTTTACAAAACCAGATGTCGTGGGAAACCTGCTTTGCTTTTATGGCACAAGATAAGGAAAGTGTTGTGCTGGTCTAGTTTAGAGTCACTCGCAATGACAGATGGTGGAACGAGTGAAAGGCTTAATGGAAAAGTCACTCTAAACATGATGATCCTCTTCAGTCGAGTGAAAGCAAAACACAGTGGTTGTCACCAGAAGGCGAGGAGGGAGGGGGAGGAGCGGCACAGGTTGCGACATCCTCTTTGCGAAGGAAAGCCACAAGGTTGGTGTGAAACACTGACGTTTAAATTTAGAACGTGGCAGTGTCACAGAGACATGCGCTGTGCTCTCAGCGAGACCATCGTTATCCGGGGGGTTTTCTGGGTCTAATCTCAGGGGGGCAGCTGGATGCAGGGTGACTGATAAGAGCCCTACCGAGGGGGTGTATGGGGGGTGGGGGGCGTGGGCTCGGCATGCTTCACCCTCGTGGTGACATTTGTTACTGGCACTTATAGGAAAGCGTCTTCTGTGTTCCTACATCCGTAGACTGCTGTTGCTTATGAGCCTGTGACAAGCTGGTGGTGCAGGACTTTCATGGGAATTTATGATACAGACTTTCAGTCCAATCTCAGACTTTACGATCAATGCAAGAAGCAGGACATCTGCACATTTCATTTTCAGTAGCAATGTAGTTCCACTTCAGAGATTTGTATGTTTTATTTTGACATTTTTCTTGGATTTCCTCTCCTCTCCTTTTTCATTTAACAGTGAAACGCATAGTAACCATCCCATTCACTTGAAGTTATTTCAGATTAGTTCGAGATAGAGTTGCACTGAATAATCTGCCGTCTTGCAATACCCGTCTGAGCTTGGTTTTAGCAGCATGCTCTAAATATGAGTGTGCAAACCCTCAAATCTGTTCTTACTTGCATTGGGTAGGCTGCAGTCAGGAAGTGCGTCTCGTTTGAGACGGGAGTCATGCTGAAACACAAGGCCCCGCATGAGTATGAATGACTGAAATAAGAAG